GTTGCATGAGACCGGGGGGCTGGCCACCACGTGGTTTTGCCTTCTGGCACACCGAGCAGCTACGAGCGTATCGGAGCACATCCTGCCTCATGCCTGGCCAGGTAGCAATTTGGGATAACTTTTCGTAAGTCTTGCTCCCACTGCTGTGTCCTGCCAAGGCAGAGTCATGCATGTATCGGATGAAAAGCTTACGTAGCTTGCGGGGTATCACGGTCCGGAATGCCGAGCCATCCGGATCGTCGTCGGCCTGGGGGATGTAGCGCAGCAGGAGGCCGTCGTCGCTCATCATGTAGGAGTCGAACTCCTCGTCACTTGGGCGGTCGACTGGACCTCTTGCTGCCAGCCAAGCGGACACGCGTTGGCAGAGTCCGTCATCCAGCTGCGCCTTGCGAAGCTCCTCGCGGCTCACCAATGTACCCCACCGTGAATCTGGGGATCCTCGTGTAGTGGCCGCGACGGTCACCAAGCCATGGGTATCCTGCGAGTGTTCCTCGGGAAGTGGAGCACGAGAGAGCGCATCAGCAACTTTGTTAGTTGACCCCGGGCGGTACACAATGGAGTAGTCGTACTGTTGTAGCGTAAGCGCCCAACGAGCAAGACGCCCAGCTGGATTCTTAAGTCCCCTTAGCCATGATAGCGCTAAGTGATCAGATTGAATCTGGAACGTTGCGCCATCTAGGTACATATCAAATCGCCTCAAAGCATGAATAATGGCGAGACATTCACGTTCTGCGACACTGTAGTTGCGCTCGGCTGGAGTTAGCGTGTGGCTCGTGAAAGCAACTGGCCGAAGCACACCGCCATACTCCTGCAGCAAGACAGCACCCAGGCCACAGTCGCTTGCATCTGTCTGCAGAACGAACGGCTTGTTCAAGTCTGGGAGCTGTAAACAAGCGTTGTCAGTCACGGCTTTTGAAAGGGCTGCGAATGCGCATTGTTGTTGTTCGGACCAACACCACTTGACGCCTTTTTTTAGAAGGTGATTGAGCGGTTGCGATATCTCGGAACAGTGTGGAATGAAATCCCGGTAGAACGCAATCATTCCGAGGTATCTTTGTAGGCTCTTTACGTCATGTGGGCTTGGGTATTCCGTTAGCGCGCGCAACTTATCTTCGTTGGGGCGGAGCGTGCCGTTATCCACAACGAATCCAAGGAGGTCAATCTTGGGCGCGGCTAACTGAACCTTTCCGGGATGAATCGTGAGCCCAGCATTACGCATTCGCTCAAGTACAATGCGAAGGTGCTCGACATGCTCTTCGATAGTTCTCGAGAAAACAACCACGTCGTCCATGTATGCCATGGCAAATTCGTACTTCGAGTTCCCAAGTACAACATCCATCAGGCGTTGAAAACTGGCTGGAGAGTTAGACAAGCCAAACGGCAGTCGGGTGAACTCGAACAACCCTCTGTGGCAGATGAAAGCCGTTTTTGGAACGTCTGATGGGTGAATCTCGATCTGAAGGAACCCGCGACTGCAATCCAGCGTTGTAAACACGGTCGCGTTACCGAGCGCGTACATCACGGAGGAAATGCTGGGGAAAGGGTAGCTGTCTCGTACGGACACATCGTTAAGCCGCCTGTAATCCACACAGAGTCTGGCTGTTCCGTCTTTTTTCGGGGCGAGAACAACGGGGAATGCCCAGGGGCTCTTCGACTCACGTACTGAACCGGTGTCGATCATTTCCTCGAGCGCCGCATCAAGGAGTGCCCTTTTGTGGACGCTGATCGGTCGAGGGTTGCACCTCCGAGGCGGCGCGTCACCGGTTTCAATGCGGTGCAGCAGAATGTCAGTCTTTCCAGGTGTTTCCGTGAACATCGGTGAGAAAGACTCCAGGACGGCTTGCAGCTCCTGCTTCTGCTGGCTGCTTGCGGGGCACTTTCGCAACGATTCTCGAACGCCGGCAGGCAAGACGTCTGGCACCGTGGTGAAGTGGGCTGCAGTGGTCGAGTTAGGGATGCAGTCCTCCCTTTTGGTAAACGGAGTCAGCTCCGGTTGTTGTCCCAGCCGGTATCCACCACCAGAAAAGTCGAGTGTCATGCTTTCGCCTGTAATGAAATCTCGGCCCAAGATCACAGGCACCACAAGTCCTGGCATATAAAGAAATCGCTGACGTCGCTTCTTTCCATTAAACCGAATCTGCAGCCTCACGGCTCCTCCAGCTGTTATCGCTGTACCAGAAGCTAGCTGCAAACGGGTTTCGCACTCCCGGAGGCTTATCTTTTTTGCTTTGCAGAGTTCGAAAACGAAATCCCCAATGAGCGAGATAGCGGCCCCAGAATCCAAAAGTGCGGCAATGGGAAAATCGAGCAGTGATATTGTCTAGCGCGGTTCAATGATGTTAGGCTCGGGCTGGATTCGACATACCGATGGAATCTGTGCCGCGGCCTGACCGCTCCCAGGGACTGCACTGGCTGTCGGCGAGTGGCTGTCTGGTTTCAGCGTCGCCGGCCGTAGTAGTTTCCCTGGTTGTTTTGGTTCCGGCCCTTTGCCGCCGTCTCGTGCCACCTCTTGTTTGTAGTGTCCAGAAGCCTTGGACACTGCTTTCGGTGATGGCCGGGCTGCTCGCACTCGTAGCAGCAGTCCGACGACAGTTGCCTGCTTAGGCCACCCGCACCGAGGTGCCCGTCGGACCGCCTCCAGTGATCGGATAAGGAACCACTATGGGAGGGCCTCCACCAGGCTTGCGACTGGCTGTTGTGGGGAGGGCTTGTTCCGTTGCGGCGGGGGTCAATGCTGCTGGGCTGCGGGTTTGCGACCGCACCGTGCCAGTTTTCGCCAGCACTTGCAGGAGCAGACTGATGAAGATGGTTCGCTTGGGTGGTGATCTCCGTTGGGCCCCAGCTTGCGATAGGGCACGGCCAACGACCTCCCACCTGTCGTGGCGACCCCCGCCCGAAACCCTCACGGGCCTCGCTGTGACCTCCGGGGACCTCTCGGGGAGAGTTAGGCGAACAAACGCTTATCCCGCACGGGATATCACCATGCATGCCACGCCAACTCTCCTGGTTGACGTGGTGGGGAAGGGAGGTCTCGTTCGGACAGTCCACTTGCGTGGAGGCCTCGGGGCCCCGCCATGCGCATGCCGGTTCGAGCGCGTACTTGGCTGGTGGCGGCGGCACGTAGTTCCGCTCGGCATGAAGAGCTTCCTCGATGAGGCGGGCGCCCCGGGCTAGCTCTTCAAGGGTCTCAAAGGTGCGGTTGATCAGGTAGACGTGGTACCTGGGGTGACACTGTCTTCTGACCCGAGCTACTCTGTCCGACTCCGGTCCCAAGTAGCACAGAATTTTCTAAAGTCATCGGCCATGCCTCGGCCATTGCTAGGCCAACGATCAATTTGGTCGGCCACCGGCAAATCCTCGGTGGACAACCAAAAACCATGGTCGGCAAAAGCCAGGCCACCGATGCCTCGAATTCAGCTCGGCCATTGGCAAAGGGCAGTGCTCGGCAAACTCCCGGCCATCCAAGGTATTTTTTTACATGTTGGCCACCAAGGAAGGGCCTAGCCCGGCATTTGCCCAGTTGCCAAGGCCTTGTTTTCACCTCGGCCACAGGGCAAAAAAACGAGGGCCGGCATTTGCCAGGCCACCGAGCTCTTGTTTTCACCTTGGCCATTGGGCAAAAAACAAGGACCGGCATTTGCTAGGCCACCGAGGCCTTGATTTCACCTCGGCCATTAAGCAAAGACCGAGGGCCGGGATTTGCTAGGCCACCGAGGCCTTGTTTTCACCTTGGCCATTGAGCAAAGAACGAGGGCCGGCATCTGCTAGGCCACAAAGGTATATCCGAGGGTCGTTTTCAGCCTGGCCATGGAGCAAATACCGACGCGGCATTAGCCTGGCCACAGATGTATAACCGAGGTCTCGTTTTCACCTCGGCCGTAGGGCAAAAAACAAGGGCCGGCATGTGCTAGGCCACCGAGGCCTTGATTTTACCTCGGCCATTAAGCAAAGACCGAGGGCCGGCATTCGCTAGGCCACCGAGGCCTTGATTTCATCTCGGCCATTGAGCAAAGAACGAGGGCCGGCATCTGCTAGGCCACAAAGGTATATCCGAGGGTTGTTTTCAGCCTGGCCATGGAGCAAATACCGACGCGGCATTAGCCTGGCTTTGTTTTCACCTCGGCCATTGAGCAAAAAACAATGTGACATTTGCCTGGCCAGAAAGGCATAGCCGAAGGTCATTTTCACCTCGGCCATAGGGCAAATAATGCTAGCTGTGGCATTTTCATTGCCACTAAAGGTATACCAGACGGCAGTTTCCTCCCCAATCTAAAGGCAAAATAACATGCAAGAACAGATGTTTGTGTTTGTAGGTTCATCATGTTGCAGGCAACAATACTCAAGCTCTAGGCATCACTGTAATGCACTCAAGGCACTGGGGTGGATCAGCTAGGAGGCATCCAGATTGAGGTCTTTGTGATCTGAACATCATATGACGCAGCCATTCTTATTGAACCTTCATGTTAATGCACCTGCTGCTTCGCTGTGCAAAAAGAAAAAAGATTGACAAAACCTACCTAGTTGCAATTGCTCATGATAATCAAACTCTAGGCTAAATTGCAGTTGCATTAGCTTTCCAACAACCACCTCCGAAGTCTGGCACAAATGATGTGCAATGTTTCTTGTCACCCCGTACGAAAAAAATTGGTGTCATTTACAGTGTATGTTATCTACTAGGCAAACAAACAACAGAGAAACAGTTTACCGGTTTCACAAGAATATAGTCTCCGAAGGATATATATATTGCCTAGTCCAAAAATTTCAAAGGTGTTGGTGGTCAGGCTGTTGGTTAACTGATCATGAATTCAATGGACACTGTAAGAAAGGGTCATCAGTTCGATTCACTGTCAGATTAAAAGTGCATGTCCCCAGGTTAGTCAATTTATACCAGCAAAAGAAGACACCAATGTGTTGAAATTCGAAAGATGTTTGTCCTGTCCGTCTTCTTTGTATAACTCTTTCGTATTTTTGAATCAGGGCTGTTCAAGAAGTATCCAACCTTTGGCAGGAAAAAATACATTTATTTGCCTTGAGGTCTAAAACTCTAATCCCCTTCAAACTACTCTCCTTGGGATAGCATACACTTCAATGTTTGAAAGGCTTAGCTGTTTATTCAGCCAGCTGTCCCGGTGCCCTGGGCCTCTTGTGCCGTAGTTCACATGGTTTCTGAATGAGCCGAAGTCCTATCTTCTTTGATGACTTGGCTGCCTCCAGTTCCACATGGCCCAAGCCTCAGCGCAATGCCTGCAAAATGTTATGAGAGCAATTCACTTATAGGATCAAGACAAACAAAATTTAATTTAGGCTAATAGCTTCTTTTCATGTCACCATTTCGGAACAATGTTTCTACCAAACTAGACAAGCAGAAAACCGAAGAATTGCCACTCATATGGCTGCATGAAAAAGTATAATCTGCTTGTAACACTGGAATGTGCTTGCCAGAGGCGAGTTACAGCATAATGATGTGCTGTATTACCAATTTCATGTGATCGTTTAAAATCCTCTAAAACTGTAAAACTACGGCACCTGAAAAAAAGTATATCAAGTATACAACCTCTACTATTTGCATTGACAGCTGCCACTAAATAATGTTTTGTCTGAACTAAAATAAGTACAGTGGACTCGCAATAATTCAAACTCTGATATTTCTTACTGCCAGTTAATTCAAACAAATTTAAAAATTTAGTTTTTTCGCTATGTTTTAATTAATTCAAACAATGTTTTCGCTCCGTTCACACTATTTGTCCATTGCGGAGGGTTAGCCCCGTTGAGTGCGCTTCTCATCGAGCACCTGTGTACTCCGGAAAAGCAATACACGCGAATCTCGTGGTCATTGCTTTGCCGTAGTATACGGGTGCTAGGTGAGAAGCACACTCGATGGGACTAACCCAACCCGATTATGCAAGGAGCACTGTCCTGACAATCTGCTTTCATTATTTGTGCTTCTTTGATTTTTCTAAGGGGGATTAAATTCCAGATAAAAGAAAGAATATTTGCATATAGCAAGCAGATTTATAAATTCCTTCGACTAGGATAGCTGGGCGTTTCTTCAGGTTTAATTTTATGTGAAATCTGTCATTTGGATGCCACCCCAATGTGGGCATTGGACTTACAGAGGCCACAGTTCATAGATGTAGTTATATTAAAACTAACTGAGCTTAGAAGTGGACAAGGGTAAGGTTGGGAACAACCCTCACAAGTTAAGCTGAATTTTTGTTTAAGCACGGCACAACAGTAGTAAAAGGCTTTGAGAAACTATTCTATATTCAATTAGAAAATATTCCGCCAATATTAATATTTGCTTTAAGCCTCACCAATGTTTTACGTGTGCCCTTTTTTAAATAGGCCTGTGCAGAGGATAGTATAAAAAACTGCTTGGTACATGTAGTTATTCCAATAGCAATTTCATACCTTGCCTCATATCACTTTTCCATACATTTCCGATAATTCAAACTTCTCATATTTCAAATTAAAGTCTGTGGCTTCCAGGAGTTTGAGTTACTGAGAGTCAAGTGTATTAGAAGATATTTCCGGTCCTCCCAAAACCAAGAACCTGAACACTAACTTCAAGCAACAGCTTTTCTAGCTGCCAAATAAATGACATGCCACACCAGAAGTGTAAAGCTTCCTTCAGTGACATGAATAGCAACCTTACACAAAAAATGAGCACCAGTTCACTTATGCACAGGAGGCGGCTGTCGCCATGTAGGAAAATAACACAACTCGCAAACGTCCATAACACAGAGGGACATGCCCACCCCAAACTCCAGGATAGCCTAGGTCTGCTGAAAAGCCTCGTCCATCTATCTTGGAGTCCCCAAGTAGCAGCAATCAAGAAGTCAACTTCCCCTCGAGGCAGACTGCCCTCGAGCCCCTCCCAGTGGCCTTCGTTATACCAGAAGCCCAAGACGGATTACGTTAGTGAAGAGTCCTCTCGCTCGTTGCCTAGGAAAAGGTGAGGAGCATCACCACTGGGAAGGTCTAGGGACCATTAACGCAGCACATCTCTATCTTCTGTTTTGGTTTGATCACATTTACACTGCATTGGAAAACCATAAATGCCTGCAGAAGCAAGTCACTGGACCTTGGAAAAACAGCAGTGGACTGTTTTTCATTATTCCACACTGTTCATTGTTAAATTTGTTACACCAGAGACCGCTATTTCACTAGAAATGGCAGTTGGTGGCTGCACTGTCATTGCACAATTAATAAGAGCATGAGTCTCTGGCAATGAAAGTTTCTTAGTAAAACTGGTGCTCTAAAAAATGCTGTGGTTCAAGAAAATGATGATGATGAAGATAAAAATTTAAATAACACTTGAATGTGATGGGTTCTAAAGCCGCAAGCCACATGGTTTTGAGCAGAGGTTGGCGACACCTTTTGTCATAAAAGCACCTTCAAACAAAATATTGATAAACATTAGTTCTCTCTAAACAAAGGAGGAAACCATCACTTCATTCTGTGATTTTGGTTTGCTTCAACTTGCAATAATTTTGACATTGCCTTGAAATTTCACTGTAAAAGAAATGTCTTATGATGAATGTACCGAAGACTGGGGCTCAGCTAAATTTAAATGGAGAGAAAGGTTCTCAATTAAGTGGCACACAACAGAACATACAGAGAGAGACTTTAAGAAACCCTTTCCATGGGTGCACTTCCAATACTGCTTGATGCTTGCTTTCCCCCCTCCCCTTTTTTTTAAATAATATATCCTGTATATTTGCTAGTTAGTTGTAAACCTTTTAATGTCGTGTTATTTGCTTTCGTTTTATGTGTGAATGTATATGTTGTATCCCACACCTACTTGGGCCTTCGATGGCTTGTAGTATCCTCTAAATAAGTAAAAATAAATTACAACCATCTCCAAAACAAAAATATTTTGCTGGACCCTAGTGCTTTCTATTGAAGAGTACGGCTGGGCAATGAATAGAATAACCGACCAATTAATCAAATATTGCTTTAATCTGGATTATTCTGTTTATCCGGTCAACCGGTAAAACCATGACGAACGAAAAGAAAATCAAAATTAAATGCTTTTACCATAGAGAAATGGCCGAGTACATGTATATGAAGGGCAAAGTTTAGGTGAAATTTTAACCTAAAATAAACTGTAAGGGCAAGATTTGTAACTCCAGACAAGGTGCAGAGGGTTACATGTGCTCTGGCCACTTTAACATATATTGAGTGTCTGTTTAGAGCAGCGAGAACAATCAAAAGAAGCCGCTCTTGCCGACGAATATCAACAAACCCCTTTGCCTCACGCAACTCAAGTAATAATCTGCGAGCGTGTCCTCAAACTGTTGTCAACTATGTATTGAAGTTGATTCATATTCAATTTTGTATACTGTTTATCAAACATTCAGTAAAGGCAAACAAAAATATATATAATTTTGAGTATGCACGGAAAGGAATGAGAATGATTAATCGATTAATAATCGGTTAAGGGATGGCAATTATAATGATGTTTAAATTTATAATCAATGCTCAGCCCGACAGTCCAGTCATTGTTGCTAGAAGCTGAATTGACCAAGCGACGACTGACAACAATGGCACTGCCTTAACAAGAAAACTTCAACTAGCGATAAAAGATAACGTTCAGAAGAGATTGCAGTGGCATGATGCCTGACTCGGCCTGATCATGGTTGAGAACCGCACACCTTGCTGCAGACGTGCTGCTTCTGGGATTGTTTATAGTCACCATTATGTTTGCCTGCTGAGTCATAGGACAAAGTTATTTGGCTGGGACAAAGGCCACCGGCCCAGATAATTGAGGCGCCAACAAGCACGGCTAGGCGATAGCAAAACATAAAGATGACTCAAATCGAGGTGCTCCTAAACAAAACAGGCAGAGTCGCATAGCAGTGGCCATGCACTCTTGTCCTCAAACCGCCTCTTATTGCTACTTCAGCATCTCTTGTAGAAGCCCAGCAAGCAGTGGATTTCGGTCACTGCACTAACATTTCAGCTTGCACTGTCCAGGACTCAGCACGACCCCCAACATACTCAAGGACAGAGATACAAAGAAGCAACCTACTAACCTCTGTGTAAATGTGATCAAAGAAACAGGGAATACCCTCGAGCTTATAGCCTAGAGAATAGAAAAGCACCATACACAACATTAACTTCCTAAAAGAGAGGGACATCAAACCTGGTTCTAGGGAAAAAGATATAGGCTAAAAAAGTTCTTCCACTCACAGTCAAAACATAGGGAAGACTTATTCACCACAGTTACAAGCTTCAATTTTGTTACTGATTCTTTCAGTATAAATTTGTGGACATTCTCTTGGGTCAAAACTTTTTCAGAACAGATCCATAAAGGCTCACAATTATTCCCTCAAATGTTTTCACAGTTCCAAATACAGATCCCTGTTTTTATGCAATCTTTGCAACAAAATTCTGCAAGAAAAGCAACAAAAAAAACCCACTTGATTAAATGTAATAATTGTGCGCCCTTATGGGATCCTGCTGAAATAGTTTTGACCGAAGGGAATGACTACAAGCATATACTGCAAGAATCAATAATAATAATAATAAAGCATAGAAATGTGTTGACTGAGCCCTTTCTGTGTTTCGACTCTGAGTGGACCAGGCGTACAGGGACGTAGCCAGGGAGGGGGAGGGGTGCTTATGGGGCTTCAGCCCCACCCCGAAATACAGCCGACCCTATAATATTATACACAAGCATTTTGACCCCTTACCCCTCTCTGAACCCCAAGTAATGGACATCCCAGCCAGCAGTGGTATAGCCAAGAATTTTTTTTTTCTTTTTAGGAGAAGGGGCCCCCTAAAAAGAAAAAAAAAATTCTTGGCTATACCACTGCTTTTTGCCTGTCTTTTTTCATTAGAAACAAGTTCGATGTCCACCCGTTTTTGGAAACTTGACCTTGTGTATGAATTTTTTGTACTTCCTAGGTTAAAAACTCAAGCTATTCTTCTTTAAACCACATTTACTCAGAGGTTCGTAGGTTGCTTCGTTTCGTTTGTTGTCTTGGAGACCTTCGGGGTTGCGTACAGTAGAAGGCTGCAATATCCGGGAACGAATTCCCTTTGTAGAGTGGTTGTAAGCAGGAAAATATTATTTGTAAAGAGTGCCTTTGTGTCTCCCTCTTCAGGGTTGCCTATTTATTTTTAGCCCATTGTTTTAGATTTCAGTGTTTGCATCATCCTTCATGAATCCCTACTACTGTATTGGGTAATTCACCTTGTTTAACCTGTGCCAGCTTGCACCTCGGTTTTCTTCTTTAAAGAGACACTAACACGCCCTAAAAGTGTGCATATTTTTTTTTTTTTTGCCAGGCGATTTAATTTGTGTCAAGATACTAGTCGGGAAATATTTTACTACACAGCCACGTACATATTTAATAAAGCCAAAAAAACTCTGCAGTTCGAAACCGAAAAGACGACGACGACGAATTTGCGTGCACCGTTTGTCGTGCGATTATTTTGCACGACAAACGCTTGATGTCTGCACTTGAAGATCAATTGGCTGGTATCACAAATGACCGTTCCGAAGTAAAGCTCCTCATCCGTCGCAACGTTGGTGCATCATGCGTCACCATTGTATCGTCCAGCCCGCAGTACGTCGCTGTATTGAATATGATATGTATAAGTACTTCCTGTGATCTGTGCAGGATTTTTTTTTTTCAATCGGCATTTTTGCTGGCTTTTGGAGACCACAAAAATGTGGTTCATATTCTTCTTTTTTTTTAATGTTGCGTGTGTGCCTTAGATGATGCAAAACTTTGAATAGATTTGGTACATACAGTTTAAACCCCAGATAACCATGAAAAAGAGAGTGAGTGCGATAGCAAGCAACCAATTCAAGAATGGCTGTTTTTGAGCAGAAACAAACAATTTGGATCCGCAAGTAATGTTCTGGGTAGTTGGAATATCGTAGGTCATGTTCAAACAAAAACCTCAACAAGCATAAACACCCTATCAATGTCCCTTTAATAGATTACTGTAAGAGTTACATTTCTAGACACAAGCATAAACAATGTTCGTGATTAAATTGCAAGCACACAGTTAATTCATAGGAATGATTGAGAGCATACTTTTGTTCACTAGTGCTGATACTGACTAAATGATAAACCATCATTTAAGACAAAAACAAAAAAAACGGTGCAAAGGACACAAGAGAACAGACGCATAAAACACAGTGCTACGGTGTGTTCACCTCCACCTCTTTTTCCATATTTCCATTCTTTGTTTCTAATCCATTTGTTAATATTTTTTTGTTTGGGATTATTTGTGCTAGGGGTTCACTGTAATGACCCACCTGCCATGGCATTCACTTTAGGCGCACTTCTCCCTTCTTCAAGGCACCATCCTCGAAGAAGTGCTGGGTGGGCGTCCCTTTCACTTTTGTGATGCAGTTCCTCAGGTTCCCATTGGTTGCAAGCTGCCAGACAAACCAGCTGAGTCAGGAAAACTAGTCCTGCAGCAGCAAATTTCACTTTAACACTTTTAGACGTAAACACCCATGCACCTAAAAGAAGAAAAGACAAACAGCAAAGCAAGTGGTTTGCCCTTCTTAAATGCTTTCTTTCATTTCGCTGGGAACATATGTATCAGTCACACACTAGTGTACATCCAGTGGTGTGGCTTAATTTTAAGATGAGCACTCTCTTATATAACTTCAAACTTATCTAGAAAACACTGAATATAATGGGTCAGACATAAAAAGTTGTTATGAAATAACCTGTATGTTTAATCAACATTTCCTGATATTATACACAAACAGTAATACATGGTGGGACTGTGCATTAATTAGAAACTTGCAACCGGTTGACAGTTGACATTTATTTAAATAATTGATCAGTTATTGAGTGACTTGGAGGTTTATAAAATTGTTCACATAATTTGAAATTGTGAATATTACAAAATACCGTTGGAGAATGTAATTGCTGGGATTCCCATATCCTATGCAATGGAGGAACAAAACGTAATAATGAAGCCATTTCTATTTAGTGGTGTGTTTGGCACACAATCAAAGGTCATGGGTTGATGTGGCAGAAGCTGACATCAAATGCCAGCTACTAGGTATTATTGAAGTAATTAAAAAGTGAGATTTGGAATGCAATGCAAATAAGGCATTATCCTCCTACAGGTATAGCCCTTAGACAAGGATGCTGTACAAAGTTACTCCATGTAATGGCCCACAAGCTCCCCAAATTAATCAAAACAAATAATAGTTCTTGCTGACATATTAGGGCAACCTTCCATCAACACAAGTGACGTCAAGGCAACTGTTATCGCATGACTGCCACGAAGCACGAACATCCACACAGTAGTCAATATATGCTGTCATATCATTCAACTCACGTTACGATGCTTGCTAATCATGTCAGCTTCAGCCTGGTCAGGGTGGCACCTAGCACAAGAATTCAGACTTCACTGTGGTTCATATCATGAAGAAAGACACACCATATAATAAGTAAAACAACACTAACAACTAGAACTTTTAACAAGGAGGAGGGTGCAATAGCTTATTGTACAGAATGTCCCTGAAAAAATCTAACCCTGGTTTTCGCACCGCAAAAATAAACTAGGCTTCGGAGAAAGCTCAAACTCCGTTGGAACATAGCCGAAGCCGTTCAAGCGAGACGCTTAAGTTTTAATGCATATCATTACCGGAATAAAAAGTTAGAAGTGGAAAACTGTTTTTGATTATGAGAGGACGCCGTCCCTGAGAAGCAGCAGACAGAATGCCGCTGTTTGTGACAGCATCTCACAGATGGTGCCTCCATCTGCCAAGGATCAGAGCCATAGATAGGGGAGAGTTTGGCCATCCACTGTCCTCGGTGAACCCAGGCGGACCCTGGACTCCTCCCACCGGCATTGACGTTGGCCCTAGCAACCGCGTGGCAACGACGAACCCGCTGCAATCGACACGCTCCCGACCACCATTTTTGTTCTTATTCCCCGTACATGTGCATAGGCTACCCTGGAGGTTTACCGGCTCCTTGATTTTCTGAGCTTTTATTTTCAAAGACGAAAATGATTTGTTGCTGCGCCGTCGGGTGCTCTAACAGCAGCCATGACGGCTTTCGGTTGTTTATTATTCCGAAAAAAAAAATGAGGGAAACTCTGGCTAATAAAAATAAAGCGCGACACGTGGACGCCAACGGCTGGTTCCCGACTTTGTGAGGTAAGAATCTTTTCATTTATTCCAAAAACTTTCCACTATGGAAATGATCACCCGTGCCTTGCGTGATCGCATCTACAGCTACAATCACGGATGGTATGGATTTATAAATTACTGTAAATAGCATTGATCTGGTCATATATGCAGTTCAAACTTTGGCTCAACTCAAGAAAGTGAGACATAATTATAGTTCGTTGCAATCAAGATAAGCATGTGCGATCACTAAAGCTACAATCCTTGTTTGTTGCATAAAGATATACGAGCACATGGAATTTAAATGAAACAAAACAAAACGGCAAAGTTAATGTTAATTGTGCGCATTTCTCATGTTCACTATCTGCAACTTCTAAGGGGCCCTGGTTATGACAGCCCTGTTTAAACTAGTGACTGCTAAGTAAATTGAGTTATAAGTTGTCCTGGATTTAATGTACATGATGCAACTAAGCATGCAAATGTTAATTATAGGGCATTGTTAAGTAAAATTTATCATATTTTTCTAGGCAATTTGAAGGATCCCAGTTTGAGCAAAATTGCGCAGATGGTTGGAAGAAGCTGAAACAGACTGCCATTCCAACAGTGTTTGCACATTCTAATTGCAAGAGAAGGAAATCACCAATGATGCGAAATGCTCCATTACCAAAGGTAAGTATGCCACATAACGGGTGTATTTTTTGTTGTTCGGTCACATGTACTCCAGGCAAAATAAGAAAGAAGAGTGACATTAGGACACTTTTAATTTTCCCAGTTGCTTACCCTGCTTGAGGGACGCTAAGAACAAAATTGTTTGTGCAGTTAGGCGGCTAGGTGCAGTTAGGCGAAGCAGCTCAGTGGCTTGCTCCGCAAAGACGTTGTGCAAGCTTGTACAGCGTCCCAATAGACCTTTTTCTAAATTTCCCAAGCACCGAGTGTAGTTACAGGCATTGCACGTGCTAGCGTCTGCAGTAGTAATTATTCTAAATCAAAAAGTCCAAAACAAATTTTGCCTCGCACACACGTTCGTCAAAGCCTTATTATGATTATTTACTTTGAATCTTTTATAAGAGAAAGGCCAGCGCGCGCGGACCGTAGAATTACACTTCCAGCGTTGTTCTCGATGCTTGGGTAGTTTAAAAAAAGGTCTAATGGGACGCTGTCAGCTTTTATGTGCTATCAATACCCGGCCAATTGAGTCAAGGCAATCCGCTTTCCAAAGACGTTGCCATGCCGACAATTATCGCGTTCATTTAGGCTTAGTAATGGCCAGAATCAAAAAACTATAAAAAAGATGCAAAAAAGCAAAACTATAAACTAAGCAAAACTAAAAAGCAAAAAGATGCAAAAACTATAAAAAAGAAAAGGTCATTGCTCATGCTTTGCGATTTAAGTGAGGTAAGGCAAAGCGAAAGCCTCCTGCACGATTCGTTGCTGACTAACGCGCCCGATATTACAGCTACAACGACATATTAGTTCCAAAGCGAGCGGCACTCACTCACCGGGGCACTGCCACGTTTCCCCGCATCCCTACCGAGCCAGTAACGTGATATAATAATCCCCCTCCTAGGTACTGCGGCTAACTTTAGCAGCTGTTAGCGCTTCAAGCAAACGGGCCGAGACTATGTTGCTCACGCGTTAACTGCGGCCTAAGGAACGCTAGTTAGTAATAAAATAAAACTGAACATAAACAATTAATGCAAGTGCATGTAAACGACAGTTGGCGTTCGCGAAGACAGAAGCAGATAATGTCTGCTTCGGTATTTATCAAAATGCCTTTTCACAGAAAAAAAAAATTCATGTGACTACAATTTTAGGTTCTTCAATTAGTTTTATTTCCTTCTATAAAGAACCGACAAAGTTGGGGACAAGGATACAATACTTTTGTCAGGTACTGTAACCTTGCTGCCAGTCGCTCGGGTTAGACCATTGAGGGAGCGCTGGAAGCCTTGAGGGCAAGTGGCGCCATCTGCACAACCTACTCGGCAACGGCACATGAAGATCCGGCATGGAACAAATCAATTTACGACTGCATCTCAAAAGACATTGGCTCAACCTTCCAAAATGAACCGATAATGATTGTGGGTGACTTTAACTGCCACATATTAGAACTGGATGGTAGGGAAAGCAAAGCAGCAGAACTCAGGAAACTACCGTATTTACTCGCGTATAGGTCGACCTGTTTTTCAAAAATCGCCTCATCAAAACTGGGGGGTCGACCAATACGCGAATCCCGGTATTATATTTTTCAACTTTTTTTTTTTTTTCGGGGGTCCCGAAGTTAGGGGGTCGACCTATACGACGTATCGACCAATATGCGAGTAAATACGGTAGTAAAAAACAGCATAAAGGGGGGGGGGGTGCAACGATTTCCGGACTTTGGTCAAAAATTTGTGGAAGTTGCCCTCTGACACTTCTGAAGTAACGAACAGAAAACCGATTTCTCCTGCGTGTCCTAGTTGTTGCATAAAAAAGATAAATATTGGCATTTCGGGCACCCCTCAACTCACTCCCAGTCTTCAGGGTCACACCTGGTCCCCCTCCTAGTGACGTCCTTCGGAGTGCCGTGTGGGTTCCCGTGTGCTGTCTCGGAGGACACTTCCTCTCCCTCTCTCTGCTGACATTAGCGGGCGTTAGGCTGCAGCTTAGAGCCGAGCGAAGTCACGTAATCTTCTAGCCGTAGTTCCTCCGGCTGCCACTTGCCGCTGCAAGTGGGGGAAAAAGCTCGGCTTTTGCTTTGCAATTATGCAGCGGAATCGCGACATTTTGAAGGAAGGAAATGGTTTCTCTATCCTCCAGGGCACGATAAACAACGTAAAAATGAGGAGATGCAAATTCTTTTAACCATAAAATTGTTGAACCCCCCCCCCCCCCCTTTAACTATAGTTAACCTGGAGCCACAATGCAAGGGAAAAACAACCTGGAGCCGCAACAACCAAAAATCAACAATTGACTATATCCTCATAAACGACGAGGCAGGCAAAGAAAACATCAAGATAGATGCTATAGACATAGACGAGAGCAAGGTAAGCAGCTGTGCAAGCGATTATAACAGAATACTGCTAAAACTAAACACCAACAACCAAAGACAGAAAAAAAAAAAAAAAAACATCCAGGAAAATTACTGGAAGCTAGGAGCAGAAGATAAAATAGAAAAATTTGCATCAGAATTGGAGAAAAAAATTACAAAAGACAACACATATGAAGAACTAATGAGCCTAATTACCCAAACAGCCAAAGAACAAGTGGAAAAAACCAGAAAAGGGAAACAATAAAACCGAAGCCCCTGGTTCGACAGGAGGTAAAGGAGGCAATTGGGAAGACGAGAGATCAACAGGCAGCACAGGTGGGCACAACGAAAAGGCTACACCCAAGACTACCTGTGGGAATGTTTTGAAGAAAAAAAAGTTCGAGTGAAGGCACTATACCCCGTTTCACCTCATGTTGTACCGCAGCGAAGGCTAGAAGTGCGAGCTCATAGCGTTGGCAGCTGCCCTAGGTGCACGAGAGCTTGTGCCGCCGAGGTGTGCCATAGAGCAAGGAGCTCACGCTTGTAGCCTTTCCTGCGGTACAACACAAGGTGAAACAAAGTATAGTGGCCACAAAAATTCAACAGTTCTGCAGAAAGACAGAGGAAGACATACTGAAAAAGGGAAAAAAATCTAACGAGAAATTCTGGAGACAAATTACTACAATGCATGCAGAAAAAAAGAAAGAACAGACACGTATGCTGCAAAGAGGGGGCAAAGACCTGAAAGAAAAATGCGAAATAGAAGAATGGATGACTGAGTACTTCTTACAGCAACAACAAAAAACTGAAGCAAACCCCGGAAGAGACATACAGTCAAAAAGAAACTTTGGGAAAACGCAAAATACAGAAGCATTCCATACTAGATCCCATAACCATGGGGGAAATGAAGAGGAAAATAAGACGACAGAAAAACAAGAAGGCAACCGGTATGGATGATATTCCGAACGAGTTCCTGAAGGCAATTAAGAAAGAGGCAGCAAACAACCTCAGAACATGCTTTAATGAACGCCTGGTGTCAACAGAAATACCGTAAGTGTGGAAACAGGCAAGAGTAAAGCTTCTATATAAAGGGAAACAAGCAGACCCAAAAGACCTCAATGCCTATCGACCAATCGCAATAATCAGCAGTCTGCAAATTATTTGCAAGCATAATAAACCACAGGCTACAGATCTTGTATGATAAAAACAACTTTTTCGTAGAAGCTCAAAATGGCTTTCGGCAAAACAGAAGAACAAGCGATAACCTATTTACGTTAATCCCAAGCCATAGAAATGAAAGACATCCAAAACTCCCAGTTGTTCCTGGCATTCCTAGACCTCGAGAAAGCATATGATGCAGTACCACACCAAAGATTATGGGATAAGATGGAGAAAAGCGGACTCAAAAAGGAAAGTGTCGAACGCATGAAGAGCTTGTACGGGGGTTGCGAGGCCTGGTACACATTAGAAAACTACAAATCAAAACCAGTACCAATAAGTTTTGGACTGAGACAGGGGTGTTGCCTATCACCAACACCGTTTAATGTGTACACAAACGACCTTCTCAAACATCTCAAACATCTGGTGGAGGAAGGGGCAGGGTTGCACTTGAGCACTACGACCAAGGACAAAGAGGAAGAATACACGCGCATCCCATGCCTGGCCTTTGCGAACGATGTGGTGCTCCTCGCAGAGTCCTCAACCAATATGCAGCACATGATTGACATCTGCACAGGGGTGGCAGCGAGGGACAACCTTAAATTTAATGCAGGAATAACGCAGTGGATGGGCTCCAACGTGAATTTGGACACCAGCTTTTACCTACAAAATTAAACAGTACAGAAAACAACACCCTACAATTACCATGGTGTAACAATAACGCACAGCAAGGACTACCTGACCAAACAGGAAAAAAACGTAATTAAAAAGTCAAACAAACTGAAGGGGGTGGTGTGGCATCTCGCCAGGCACTCATACAATAGACACTCGGTTGGGAGGCTACTATGGAAATCCCTTGCAGTCCAAGCAGTGACTTACGCGAATGACGCGATTACATACAGCGAGACAGTGGTAAAGTGTCTGGATCGACATCAATACAGACTGGGGAGATGGCTGCTGAGCTGCACAGCAAACGCAGCGGTAACCGGGGAAATGGGATGTCTACCTACAAGATACGAGAGGCCAGGTCGAAGCTTGCATACATGGGCAGACTAAAGTTCTTTCCCCAGGAGAGCTACGCCAGAGGGATGTACTACCACATCCGATATCAGGGGTCCAAGACAGGCTGGATGAAGAGAATAAAGACCATAGATTCTAAGTACGGTGGGGGCACAACAAGACATCTGGTGACGACGGAACAGGAGTGGGCGAGGACAATACGGGCAGAGGTGACACGGCCGGAATAGAGGACTGGAGAAGGACAATGCAGAGGATACTGAGCCTCCAACTGTACAGGAAACACAAGAAGGAACCAGCGCCCTATCCACACTAGCAGGGAGACCGAGCCAGCGCGCTGCTGTTCCAGGCTCGAACGGGCTCCCTACTGACCCAGAGACGCAGATTTGAGCTTTATGGAGAAGATCCAAACTGCGGGCTCTGTGGCGGCGACGAGGAGACTGTCGAACACATCTTGGGACAACGCAGTAGCATCGACCAGAAAGGGCAAAGCGCGTTGTAGTGCGGTATAGCACAGGCCCTTGGCTACGGAGACGAGGCCGAGGAGGGCAACGACGACGACAGTGACCGTAAAAATTACACGCCATATGGGGACTTGAATCATCCGACGGAGGCAACAAAACGCCGCCTCGTGGCGTGAAAGCGACTTTGCCACACCGCAAAACCCCTTGCCTAGAGCGGAACGCCTGAACTCCCAGGCGAAAATTTTCAACTGGGACCAGTTGGTCCCAGTTGCAACTGGTTTATGGAACAATTCCCAGTTGCAACTGGTCCCAGTTGGAGTCGTCCAACTGGGAACAGTTGGTCCCAGTTGCAACTGGTTTATGGAACAATTCCCAGTTGCAACTGGTCCCAGTTGGAGTCGTCCAACTGGTCCCAGTTGGAGTTGGTACCAACTCCAGCAACAATGAAACACGGACCAAAATGGAAGGTTGACAAGACTTTATTGTCAAAAACTTGGAGAATGAAACTAAATAGGTTCGGTGACGTACACGCTCCGGGTTTAGCCACTTGCTTGCGACGGTTGAATCGCTTTTTCAGAGGTGGTATTCATGAGATGAAGGAAGATCGGCCGCAGGCGTCTGTTAGTGAAGACGTCCTTAGCTTCTCTTCCCATCGCGTGAAGAAAGGTGCTCACCCGTGATCCTGCGTTGCGCAGGTGAAGTCCTGATAAGATGCGGTAGCGCTCCCACCTTGCAATCTCTGTCACTACAGTCGAACATTTTCGAGGTAGACCTCCCGCCATTTTCGCCATTGTGCTCTCCGCGGCGTGTTCTCTTCCGTCCTGTCTTTCCTGGGTGCCCTCCGATCGCTGAACTGCATCGTTCCATCCTCGAAGTTCACCGCCGCCACCATGGCGTGTGTACGGTTAGGTCCAAAGAAGCGCAGCTGTAGTTTTGACATTTTCATAACGACGCCAACTTGGGCGATGGCGACCCTTCCCTACCGCGTCCGTCCGACTCCGGCGTCAGCATAGGCAGCGCCATCTGTCGACAGCGCGTACCACTAATCCGCACCCGCGTGCCACGGCGGCCGGCTAGCTCTGATTAGTCAAAAGATAAATTTATTTATTAAAAGAAAAAAAATACTGTTGGTATTTAAATAAATGTTTTAATATATTTTAATAATGCACTAAATGTTCATTTAGGTGAACACATTTTGTCACTAATTATATTTTCCAATTAAAAAAATATTTAGTTAATTAAAATTTTTATATTATTTTTATAAATATATAAATGTACCCCAGTAATTAAAAATTCCCTATTTGTATAAATCTAAAAATGTTAGTTTTTTTAGTTTTCTTCATTAGCAAAGGTCAATACACCCCCAACTTGTCCAAATTGTTGCCCAATGTTAACTGGGAACGGGAAAGGCATTTGAAGCTCGACTGGGAATCGCTCCAACCAGTTACTTTCCTAACTGGTTCCAGTGCACTCCATTCCCAACTGGGAGTCAAACCAGTTGACTCCCAACTGGGAATGGTTCAAACCAGTTGACTCCCAACTGGGAATGGTTCAAACCAGTTGACCCCTCAGCTGGCCCCAGTTGGACTCCCATTGGTCCCAGTTGATTCCCAGTTGGGACCAGTTAGTCCCAGTTGCTTCCCAGTTGGGACCAGTTAGTCCCAGTTGAAACCAGTTGAGGTGCCAACTGGTCCCAGTTAGAAATTTTCGCCTGGGCTGTGGCCTGAACAACCTCAACAATGCACATCCCCCCCCCCCCCCCCCCCTGCCGCCCTACCACGCACACGCCCGCTGTCGCACAAGCCGTCTCGCTAGCAGACGGACGGAAGAGCGCAGTGGCGCAGCGAGCGCAAGTGAGAATTTATCTCGGCCTCAGGGTGCGCCGTGCGTGCGGAGAAAGGCGACAGGCGGCGCAGGGCGGAGCACTGTTTCATAGGGAGGCTGTAGTGAGGGTGGGCGCAACTCAAAACCTGGAGAGCGTTTGCAATTTAATGGCGGCGCCTGAGGGAGAGGATTCGAGAAAGGATATGCCCCAATGTTGCCTGCACGAGAGCAGGCGCCCGCTCTGTTGCAGCTCTGTTGCTCCATGCGCCTTTCCTCCTCTCGCCTCCCATTGCAAGCAACGAGCGCCTTGGCGCAGCCTCTCTCGCTTCCTTCTCGCTCCGAGAATTGCAAACGTCGAGCGGAGAAAGCAAAGTTGCCAGACAAGCAGCAACGTCCAAGATGGCGGAATTTACCATTTTTCGCGTTAAAAAAATACTTAACCTATCGCAACAAAACTGGTGGCCATGGAAAAGTAATCATTTATACCTTGTGTAAATTATTCAAGCACCTTAATGGGCTTTTATGACCCGAGTTAGGAAAGAAAACGACCCTTTGCCCCATAGACTCCCAGCAAAATTTAGCAATTAAATGGCGTCCACGTCCCGTGATCGCCGATCTAGCAGTTGCACCCACCCTCACTTGAGCCTCCCTACTGTTTCAGCTCATTTTGTCCGCGATAGTACAGGTTGAGAAGCTGAAAGCAGATCACCCCGTTATCATGTCGCTAGTACCACGGCAGAACTTCAAAATAAAATATTAACGATAAACTCGCGGATACAATAAGAACCCCAAAATATCGCCGTGCGAATGCAATTGAATGAGGGCACTCTGGGCACAGGGTATTTTTAAAGAGCGAAAGCAATCCGCGAAACCACGAAAAAGACAGTCAGACATATGTGGTCGCTCCCATCAAATGTAAACAATAAAAGGTTTCTATATTCACTTACCAGGTTCCCGAACAAATAACAAGTGTTCGAAAGAATGTTGCAGATAATATCTCACCTTTAAATCCGTCAACACGTCCAAACGACACGTCCAGATGAAACTGCGAGTCTGCGACGCCATTGGAAAAATGGATTGTCTTGGCCGGCCGGTTTTACGGTTTTACCAGTTTTATTTCAAAGCGCTGCCCATGCAAAGAAACCGAAACTATACTTGAGGTAGTTTCGGTATAGATTCCGGCAGGTTTGAAAGATCAAGGAACGAAAGTAAACCCTGAGACAATGATAAACAAAATAACAGACAAAACAACTTGCCCTCTCCGTTATTTTATTTCTCCTTGTCTCAGGGTTTAGATTACGTTAAAAAAATTAAATGTATTTTTTACGTGCGTTGTGTGTGTGTGAAGGTGTGAACGCGAGAGTCCGTGTGCGTGCCTCTGCGGATGCGATTGCGTGTGCAACACTGGTGTGTGCAGGCGTGCATGCGTCTGTGTGCATCTGTGCGCGGGAGCGCGCGCGTGTATGCCACGTCCCTGTGCGCGTGCGTGTATGTGTGCGTGCGTGCGCATGTCTGCGTGAATGTGCGTCTGTGTGTGTGCTTGCGCGCTCGCGTGTGCGTGCGTCTGTGTCTGTGTGCGTTTCATTTTGTTAGCCCTGGACATTGGTGACATAATTTTTTTTTTAGAAAGTGTGGGGGGGGGGGGGGGGGGGGTCCGTATGCCGCAACCTACCGCCACATTTTTGGGGGTATTGGGGGGATTCCCCTGGCTACGCCACTGGCCCTGGATGTAAAACAAAATGTAATTTGTGTAGCTAAAAAGCGGCAGAATATTAACAGTAGCGGTCAGGTGTGCCTGCGGAGACTTTCAAACTTCGTTTAAAAATAGGGTGTAAAAAGAAAACAAAAAGTCATTTTGGGAACAAACTACGGCCAACCTACTTCAAAAATTGCAAAAAAAAAAGAACTTTTAAATTTTTGCAGTGAAGACAAAGGCACCGGCACGAGCGCGTGGCTTTGGAAAGTGCCTCTTATGAACGAGTGCTCGTACAAACAAAAGCACACTACTGAGCGATGCTCACGCGCCTCTCTGAGCCTTTGTCTTTACTGCAAACATTTCTGAGATGGAGTATGGTTAGAATTTCGAGCGCCTTTGGGATGATAGCATCAGTGTCACGAAATACTGTGACGTCATCTAGGCTGCAAGCCATACTCACGAAATCCCTATTTCTATACTGAAAGCATTTATGAAAATAAATATCCTTTGCATTTAAAAATATTTTTAAGGGCACACATTGCACTTCGGGCATACTGTGAATTAGAGTAGCTCGTCTTTATATTTACCCATTTTCATTAATTCATTTATATTCGTTGTTGAAGTGCTACAAATATTTATTTTGGAAAATGTGACGAAGCCATAGCATAAAAAAACAATAAATTTTGCACAAAAATGCACAAAAAATAAATAAATGCAGGCACAGTTTGTACTACGCGACGAAGGGATAGCACAATTGTTAAAAAAAGCACGAATAAAAAAATAAAGGCAGAGTTTGTACTAAAACAAAAGAAAGCGTCATTTCCATTCTCCCTTTCAAATCACGATTCCAGAGATACTACTAGTGTTTCCGAAAACGTTATTTTTTTTTTTTCTCCACCTGGTTTCCGAAACCGAAACCAAAAGTATTCAGAATTTATAGTAGCACCAAAACAATTTTGCACAAAAGCGGTCACTCCAAAAATATTGTCGCAGGCGCGTTAGAAAAAAGTCGTTGTTTATACGACGTGTAAAAGAAAAAGTAAAAAAGAAAAAAAAAGAGCATTTAAAGTTTTGCGTTTGTGACCACCACTTGCTCCGTAGTTCCAGATGGTCTGGCACAGTCTGGCATACGAATGGGAACCGCGCCGTCGTCGACGTCGCTCTGTGGTTTGCGTTCATTTCTACGTTTAAACCGATTCCTTTAGGTTTTTTTTTCTTTTTTTCTTTTACAGGTACTTTGTCAAGAGTAACAAACGATATCTGGGAGACGCTGATGGACGCTGCGTCTAGTCAACGACCGTAGGTTGTGCACGGCTGCCGGAGCACCTTCGGGAAACGCTAACCGCCGGTAAGCAAGTGTTTCTCTTTTAAATTGATTCGATAGCGTGTTGATTGAACATATTTGAAGGGATATCCAGCTAGTTTTCGTTGTAGATTCAAAGTTTGAAGTGAGACGCATGCCGAAATGACAGAGACGAGCTTAGAGCATCGCCGCCGGGCGTGTCACGTCCGAATAGATAACTGTCGAGCCAGTCCATCCAGGCTGTCCCTATTCGCACTCCGAGTGCGGATAGTGGGCGCGTTAAGTCGGCGCTCCTTTACTTCTACTCCGACGCTCCGAGTTTCATACTCCGAGCGCAGCAACTAAACGGCGCATAGCGTACAAGAGCGCGATACACCGAGGCTGCGTTCCAAACCTACTCGAATGGATCCGAGTTACACTGGCCGATTATGTCACGTGACAACAAAAATAGAGAAACGCTGGACGCGGGTAGGTTTTCGATAACCACCTTTACCCTAGAGTTAGATCGGTAGATCGAGTAAGCTCCTTCCGACCGTGAATACGGGTGGCAGAAGCCGAAAATATTTCGAAGATAAATAATTAGGCCCGTGTGGAGCCGCAGACTCGAAAGCAAAAGAGACTGCAACGTATGAAGTTTCTACGAACGTTTTAATATTCCTGAAAGGTTTTAAGACCCGTTTCGTGCACATATCTGGAAGGTTACCATGGCCGATCTACGGGGTGAAACAAGGAGACGCCAGGCTCTTCAAATTAATTGAAAAATTCGGTCTCTTATAGCGAGTTCGTTTCGCACGCACTGGCACCGTTCGAGTTCTCTAACAGAAGGCATCGCACTCACAGAGTGTTGCACGGAAAACTGGACTCAAACGAACTTGCCAAATGCACCGAGTGCAGAAGACTGATGCTGCCGCCATCTATGTTGTAGAAAAGGCACCGACTTCAAACCGAAACTAGCGCCTTTCTGTTCCGAGCATAGAGGTTCTGAGTGATGCGTGGGAATGCGAGAATGCAGTTGCTACCAACGTTTATCTACTAACGTTGGCAACTGCAGCCTGTAGTTTATAGTTGCGATGTCTTCAAGCAGCTCGGCTGCCGTAGAGCTAGTTACAGACGGCGTAAATTTCCGCAACCAGCTGTCTACAAAGCAGCTGGTTGCGATCTTTCAATTCTTATAACCGTTTACACTGAAGAAAACTAATGATGCTGTCCGAGCAGAAGCTTGATCCGTTTGAGCATGGTATTATGCGTGAACCACTGAAAGGGTACGGCTTAAAACTAGCCTGTTAGAATATCCAGCGAAACTGGGATTTTCGATTTAAATCGTCACTATAGGTGGATTAGATATTAGCTTTGGTGAGGGCGTCGAGAACGAGAGCTTTCTCGAACAAAATACGACGGGGCAAGTTAGCTGCTTAGGTAAATGTTAAACATGATGATGTTGCCCAATCCTCGGGTAAAGTCACCATCTTTAGCTTTCTCTGATGCTTATTGGGTAGTCAGAGGGAGAGTTTTATCGACAAATGTTCAATTTTTCACCCGCACACGGATGGTGATAGAAATCTCGAGGGCCGCTGTTGCGTTTGTTCTGAGCATTTCTTTACACACTGGTATATTTCAGCGTTTTTACGGCAACAGAGTGATTTAAAACCTGCAAATGAATCACGGGTTGTCAATTGCTTCCTTCGTGAAATAGCAGGCGCTCACAATTCAAGTTCGCGTTTGATTTCGTCGCCCGCGGGACATGATTTCTATCAGAAAATCTACTTTTTTTTTTTCCGTAGAGTAGATTGTTGGGCTAGTTGGTTTTAGAATTTGGAATACATTTTAGCGCTCAAAAAACAGGGACAAAGAGGCGAGAAACAGACAGCACAGTGCGCTTTTGGAATACATTTTAGCGCTCAAAAAACGGGGACAAAGAGGCGAGAAACAGACAGCACTGTGCGTCTGTTTCTCGCCTCTTTTTTTTCCGTTTGGTTCCGCCACATATCGTAGGAGACAAACCCTCGTCGTCTGCTCCCGCTCCTCGCCGGCCCCGCCGGAGCGAGGCATGACGGGATTGCATTTTGGCGCACTCCCGATTTTCTCGGTGCAGCGAGCGCATGCACGCGTGGGGTGTCAGCGATGAAACGAACTCGGAGAGTGCAACCACTCTTGGAGCGCCAGCCGAAACGAACCCGTTCCTTGCTGCGAGTGGGCACGCGTGGGCACGAGTGCCGTGAAACGAACTCGCTATTAACCTATCGCGCTACGACTTTGTGCAGCGTTGCCCACAGATGGTGCATTTTTTTTGTAAAATTTGAAAAGAGCGAACTTACCTGAAGAAAAAGTGAAGAAAGAAAAAGGCTTAGCTCCTATGGAAACGCAGCGTAGCCACCGGTCTTCAAACAACACGGTGCCGTTTCGCACGGGCCACAAGAGATGGCGCAAGCGGTCGTGACGCCAACTGCCGCCAACGAACGAGCAGACGACGCAGACAGGAACTGCAGTTCCTTGTTGTTACCGCACTTGTTTTTGTTTCTGCGATTGTCGCCGCCCGCGGAACGCGCTCCGCTTTTGAGTCGAAAAGATTGTCTGCTTGAGGCGCTGGCTCTCGGCGCCGTATGCTCGTTCGTTGGCGGCGTTCGTTGCGCCATCTCTTGTGACCCGTGCGAAACGGCGCCGTGTTGTTTGAAGACCGGTGGCGTCGCTGCGTTTCCATAGGAGCTAAGCCTTTTTCTTTCTTTACTTTTTCCTCAGGTAAGTTCGCTCTTTGCAAATTTTACAAAAAAAGTGCACCATCTGTGGGCAACGCTGCACAAAGTCGTGGCGCGATAGGTTAAGAAACCGAATTTTCCGGTCGATTTAAAGAGCCTGGTGTCTCCTTGTTTCACCCTGTATTTATAGGGAGTATTTACTGGCGGCCATAGCTATGTGCGCGACTGCTGAGCCTGTGCTGACGGCGTGCTTCCATAGTTCTTTCGCCACGTGCGTTTCGCACCACCAAGATTGCCGGTCTTAGGAGCCTATTAACGTGAGCTCGTTCCGAGCATGCGCTCTAAACATCGCCCTCAAATATGGCGTCCAGTGAATACTCCCTATTGACCAT